AGTGCACGAACTCCGTAGCACCGGTGAGGATACTGAAGTACTTTGGGTAGATTTTTAACTTCAAAATTTTGCTCAGGCAGCGGCGCTAGGCTACTCTTTTCGATTTCCAACTGCCAGGGGATTTTTAACTGCGCAAGAATAGACACGGGCATCCGATCTTACTACATGAAAAAAATTACTGGAATTCGGAAAAATAACCCCACAATTTTTGTTCTCAGCAAACAGTGAAGATGGAAACGTGCAGTCTTGCACACCTCATATTTGAGATATCTCTTTTGTATACAGTTGCATAAGTCCGTTAAAAGGACATGCTATGACAATGTGTGGTAACAATGGTTTCTGTTATACAGTTTATCGCAGCAGAGACAAAAACAGGTAAATGTGCATTAACGCTTGTGTTATTGCCAGATTTAGGTAAAGCTGAAGAAACTACAGACTAGGGCCTCACATCGCAATTTGCAGGGGCTTAACAATGCCTGTTCTTCACAAATATAATGTTCTCTTAATATATGTGTCAAAAGCAATTTGCCCCTAATGTGTTTTAATGTTGTGTCTTCAGCAACCTTTACATTTTATGAATATTATTTTGGGTGACTTATCTCAGGCTTTCTTTTAATGTTAGTTAATCGACAGATTATCCTCATTGCCAAGTCAATGAGCGCTCGGATCCTATCTTCATTACATCCCTCAGCGTGTGGCGACTGATAACACCAGTTGTGTTGGTTTACTAGTCTTCTTTGGCTACCTGTAGTATTTCAAGATCCTCGCCGGTGCTACAGAGCCTGTGCACTATGCTGAGCATCTTCGGACTCAGACTCCGTTTTACAAAACCTCAAACCTTATAGTGTTTAGTGAAAATTTTTAATATATCTTGTTGTAGCCAATCTAGAAGTTTATGGTATTCAAGATTAACTGTTGGATAACATCATGTCTCTTTATCAAGATAGTCAGTGCACAGTATGAACATCAGAAGGAATGACAGACTGGTTTCCCATGTCGTCTGGGGAAAAAAAGGGGGAGGGGGGAATTCCTGCGACCATTGCTTGTCCTTACTCACATGGATATAATTAGATAGAAGGTAAATAATACAGACACTGAAGAAATTTAAAAAAAAAATGTCTCTAGTAGACCATCAGTGGCTAATACGCAACCAAGAACATAATTTACAACACCATAATGGCACTTTATAGCAATCCTGCGCAAAGTATGATATGAAAATAAACACAGCAAAAACTGAGGTAATGAGAATATGCAGAAAACAAAGTAACAATTGATCCTGTATAACAATAGTTTACTCGGAGCCACGCTGGTTTGTATTGTTATAAACTGCTTTATTTGATGTCTTGCTTCTCGCTGTCAACATGTCATGACCAGATCTCGTTGTTCAGCGATCCTAATTATGGCATTGTCGACCAACTGGGACGAGACGGTGGCGCCTTTTTCTTGGTTCGTTAACTGTCATAGGCGACTCTTGATTGTTTCATATTTGTCACGGCATACTACTACGACTCACCAACCAATCACATCTCTTTCTTAAAATTGTAATAGTACACTATTGGCGTGGAAGTCGAGGTCTGTTGGTTTTCCCCCAAGATTACGTTTAGAAACACTAACTCTCGTGGCAGTTTGGAGGTGTTTGTTAGTGTTTCATTGTCTGTCTGCGTCGCACGCCGATGAAGTCTTTCTAATTGCAGCGTTCATGTTGTTCATGACTGTGAAGCTGGCTTTTTCTGCTGCTTGTTTGGATTGACATTCTTTCATGATGCGTCTTTTTTGGGGGTCACAGGGTTAAATTTAGTGTGACTGTCTTTAATAAGCGAGCGGACCAACAGACAAGCAGTGCACCAAAGCATGTGGGAAAAAGCATGGACAGAGCAGATATCATCAACGCTGTACGGAATGGGCTAGTGAATACTGACGAATCTCTTACGCTAACGCGATCGCATGAAATGGAAGTAAACCAAGGTGAATCACATCTATGCCTCTTTCGAGGCCGTGATAGGAGAAATTATAACAACCACTCGTGGGGAAAATTAATATAAATACCTTGGAGTGGTTGCTGCATCGAAGGACTGAGCACGTATGGGAATGCTCTATGTGCAGTGGCGTCGATTGTGATAACATTAGATAATATATGTATATACAGTTCACATTACAAAGAAAACTGACCCTCCGAAATGCAGCATCAAAGTAAACAGGACATCAAGCAAGTCAATATGTTTAAGTACTTCTATACCCTGATACCATCGGACGGAAGATGTATTAAATATGTTAAATGTAGAAAAGCTCAAGCAAAGGTAGTATTTTACAAAATAAAGTTATTTTATGCAGTCTTTCTTTGTCAGTTAAGACAAGAAAAAGAATTCTGAAAACCTGTATAAATCATATCCATATATACGAAGTGATCATAGACAGTTGAACGATTAGTGAAAAATTATTAGGAAGCTGCGGAGATATGGTTTCATAGACGAATGATGAGTATACTCTGGACAGATACAACTAGTAATGAAGATGTTTTTAAAGAAACTGACTCACGAAAGGAACTGATTGTCCACATCAGTCAATTATCAGCGGTTCTGGAGGCTCATCAAGCAGAGACAAACTGTAGCCACTCAGTTCGATCCTGAGCAAGCCTCTCAATCTGCAGTTTTGTCCTTCGCGTAGCCTTGAGTTCAGCCTCTAAGGTTCGCCCCCAAGTGCCTCTGGGCCTGTCTCTTCCTCGATGTTCATGTGATGCCTATTGCATTGCTTGTCTTGGCTATCTCTATTTTTTCATTCTGAGGACGTGTCCAATCCACCTTCATCTTCGTTTTATGATTTCTAAATTTACATCTTTTAATTATGTCATTTATTGTAATCTAGAATTGCTAATTTTATCTTTCCAAGAGAACCCCAACAATCTTCTGACAAGTCTTACCTAAAAATCTCTGAGCATGCTCTCTATCTTTCTGTCTTTTCCCCATGTTTCTGTTCCATAGAGGGGAACTGTCCTAAGGCATGTTTTGTATATCCTGAGTTGAGTTTTAGTGCTGTAGATGTTTGATCTCAAGACACGCTGAAGTCTGTTGTAAGCAGCATTTGCCTATGCAATTCTCTGCTTGATTTCAAGCACTACATTTCCATCCGAAGAGATATTGCTTCCCAGGTAAATGAAGTCAGTTACTCTATCTTCCAATCTTCATGATGTTCAAATCTTTCTGGATGACAAAATTTCTCCTCTTTTTCGTCCAAGATATTCTCGTCAATATTTCTCATCTTCTTTATAATTTGTTTACATGGTTAAAAAGGACTACTTAACTTTCTTAGAACATTATATATTTTTGGGGTGGGAGAGGAGGAAAAACGGCCCTCAAGGGGTTCGAGGAGCAGATTCTGGGGACTATGCAACACAGTTTTAAAACAAACATCACACAAATCAAGATCAATTCGTTTGTGTTTTATTTTGTTTCTTGAAAAGAGAACAAATTGAAGTCATTGTAATAACTGGAAAATTATCCTTGTCTTTACGTAATAATCAGCACCGTCGTCGTTATCATCACCACCACCACCATTATCATCATCGTCATCACCACCATCATCATCACCATAATCATCATCAGCATTATCATCGTCACCACTACCATCATCATCATCACCACCACCACCATCATCATGACCATCATTATTATCATCATCACCACCATTACCATCATCACCACCATTATAATCACCACCATAATCATCACCACCATTACCATCATCACCACCATTATAATCACCACCATAATCATCACCACCATTACCATCATCACCACCATTACCATCATCACCACCATTATAATCACCACCATTACCATCACCACCATTACCATCATCACCACCATAATCATCACCACCATTACCATCATCACCAGCATTATAATCACCACCATCATCATCCCCACCATTACCATCATCACCACCATAATCATCACCACCATTACCATCATCACCACTATTACCATCATCACCACCATTACCATCATCACCACCATTACCATCATCACCACCATAATCATCACCACCATTACCATCATCACCACCATTACCATCATCACCACCATAATCATCACCACCATTACTATCATCACCACCATTACCATCATCACCACTATAATCATCACCACCACTTTTATCACCACCACCATCATCACCAATCGTTATCATCATTATCATCCTGTTGTACTGTTGACGACGAAGAATTTCACGCTGCTACTACTGATATGGCTGCTAATAATGAATATGATGATGATGAAAAATTACATCCTGTAGTTACCTGCAGAAACCATTCAAGTTACAGTTCTTAATGACCTCATTAACGATTTTAGCATTGGTTGTTAAATTAGTGAACGCCATCTGGTCGCTGGTCAACAGGAGTGACAAAATAAATGTCACAAGTTGGGCTCGCGGTCTAATCAGGGCTGCCAATGGGATTTTTTTTTTTAAACCCAGCTTCGCTAAACAAAAACCCATGCAACACATAGACGAAAAACCCAGATTGTTAAAATGTACAAAATTTATAGTTACGAAACGAAACATTTACCACTTTTTTATAATGATATATATTTAAAAAAAAAAAGATTTCCCCAAGGCGTGAAATAAAAAACCTAGATCTGTGAAAAGTGGGGGGAGGGGGGGGGGAACCAGCATTGGCAGCCCTGGGTCTAATTCTTCCATTCTAATATTTGTGTGTGCATTGTTTTCAGTAACATAGATAGAACACAGGTCAGCCCCTTTGGCCTCTCTCATCAACGTTCTCCTTATGGTTTCTTTTAGACGTCATCGTTTCCTCACTCCATTTAGGGAATAATATTGTTATTTAAATAAATGGGATAAAAAGCACATTTATATTGAGAAGGAACATGATCGAACACATAATAATAATTTGTAGATGTAAAAAGACGTTGCTATCCGTAACATTCGGAATGATACACGAAGAAAGAGTTTCAATAGATACAGAGTGAAAAGGACATTACAATTTATCAAAAAACTGGCATCACCCAAAAGACTGCATGTATTAAACTGAGGAAAAGACCCACAGAAGTAACTCCAACAACGCTGCTACCATCATTATCGTCCGTTTTCGCCAGCGGACATTGGGCTGGACACTGGCCAGTACAAACTGTTGTATTTCCTTTGGGGCATGAGTTCACACGGCCGAGAAATTCAAGACCCTCCATTGATCTTTGCAACGAATAAACCAGCCATTTGTAAGCTTCTCCAACCATGCAGGGATGGCCCGCCAAATCTGTCAAAACTTTGCGACATTCTGGTCTGTAGAGAAAAGATATTCACGTAACATTATACAATAAATGTTAGGGGTTGGAGTCTTGGATTTGGGGTTTGAGCACAGGTTAAAAATTCTGCTGAAAATTGGGCAGCGAACCACTTTGCGTTGTTTCTGACAACGGTATTGGTGTCGAGCTTTTCATAAAACAATAGTTAACTCATCATTACCATCAGCAGTCAGTATGTCCTTAACAGAACGTCGTTTGCGTCACTGCACGCCTGATAGTCTCTTTTTACAACAGCCAACATTCCACCTATATGGTTTCCACCGGTCAGCCAACACTCCAGCCTTATGATTTCCACCGGTCAGCCAACACTCCACCCCTATGGTTTCCACCGGTCAGCCAACACTCCACCTATATGGTTTCCACCGGTCAGCCAACACTCCACCCCTATGGTTTCCACCGGTCAGCCAACACTCCACCCCTATGGTTTCCACCGGTCAGCCAACACTCCACCTCTATGGTTTCTTCCGGACACTATGCCATTTACCATGACTAAAATACCCCAGCTTTCGGGACGGGTTCCATTTAATGAGCTAACTCACCTCGATATTCACAACATCTAGGATGTCGAAGTTGTTTTTCTTTTCATTGGTCCATGGTATTTTAAGAATTTTAGCTCAAAAGGTCTAATTTTTCTTCTTCAGAGTCTTAAATTCATAAGGTTCCACGGCAAAGATGCATGATCTCAAAATTTTTACTTCATTTTGTTTGAAGGTTCTGTGCCATAGGTTGTTTGTCCTGTTTAGTCTTGCATTGCTAAGGCAAGTCTTTTTCTTACTTTTTTTGTGCAGTCGCAATTATTGTTCACTACCGAGCTTTAACATTGAAAATCTGGGAAATTTTTGATCGAATTTAACAAGCTGTATTGTGCTGTATTCACTGTGGGCTTTTTTTGGTTTAAAAATCAAATTAAAAAACAGAAATTCTTATTCGCTTTTTGACTGTCAAAATTCTTCTTCTGAGCCAAGTACACCGTGGGAAAGTAGAACTGTGCCATCTTTATATCTGAGTTCTATGATAGGGTTGCCTCTAACTGTGAGATGACTGAAGCTGCCACAGGTTTCATTACTGATTGCAATTCTTATAAGAATAACCGGCCAACAAACAGTGGGCTTGGCTTACGTTGTCCTGTATGGGACACTCAACTAGTTACAAAGTATGGGACCTTTTCTCACACAGTTGGTGCATCTGGCATATGGTGCCAACTCAAAATGTTATAGACAAACTGCATTTAATATATGATGGGACCGCCATTTTACATAAAACTTTTACATCTTTGTATATACCACATTTTACACATTTTATGCTGAGTCGACTGGAAACCTATGTTAATTATAAAAGTAATCCCTAAGGCGGATTCGAACACAAGAAATTTGGGCTGATAGGAAAGGGCCTAGTTACTTGGCTACTGCAGCTCCCATAACCTGTAGTAATAGCAGCAGAGCAGTGGTTGCATTAATAGTTGTATCAGTAGTAGCAGCAGCAGAGGTAGTAGTAGTGATGGTAGTAGTAGCATAGTAGCAGTGGCAGCAGCAGTAGTAACATCAGCAGCAGCAGCAGTAATAGTAATGGTGGCAATGGTTGTGGTCTTCTTGCTGCAGCTTCTACCGATACTTATGATGAATATGATGACGTTGAATATGGTGATGATGGTAAAAACCTGAAGTTACCTGCAGAAACCATTCAAGTTACAGTTCTTTGTGACATCATTAACAATTTTAGCATTGGCTGTAAAATTAGTGAACGCCACCCAGTCGCAACCTTCAACAGGAGTGCCAGAATATATGTCACACATAGACATTGACCCATGTGAAACGCACACTGAAATAGTAAAGTATTCATCTATATAATCTATACGATGTGTTATCTCGTTGGTCATACACGATGCAACATTGTCACGTTCATTAGAACTAAAATTTATGTTGTCGGGAGGGCGATAACGCAGTTAACAAACATCAAACCTCATAGAATGAAACACGATATAATGGTTTACCTACTTATAGAGAATGACTTGTGATATTTGTTAAATGGTGATTTAAGAATCGACATCATAGCACTCGGGACACACACATAAGCGCTCCGTCCGCATCTTTAGCAGCAAGCGAAGAGTTTCAATTCCGATGGTACCAGTTACTGTCTGACTGTATATTCGTTTCGAATTTCCCTTGAGTGTTGAGCGTTGGCCAGATCCTCTGGTAACTCCCCGCAGCGCCATTCTCCTCAGACCGTAATGATCTATTTGTGCCTCTGCATTGTTTATTTCTAGCCGTTTTCTAAACGGACACAACCCAATTACATCTTCGGATAAACGCAAAAGAAGAAGAAGAAAAAGAAGAACATGGTAAAAACCAGCTTACAGCAGAACGAGAAAGGAAAAGCGATCGGTTATGTTGTTAAAAAATTTGCAACCCGGAGCTGATGTGTTCAGAACCCACAGATACAAAAATTGTTATTAATATCAGGTTGACTCAGCTCAAAAATTGTACCAGGAAATGTACTGGGAGATCAAGGCTGCCCATCTAATATTAGTCACATCACTCATCAAGTACTTATCGGTATAAGCATACGAGAGGCCAGCATCACATAATATGCGTAGTTGCCTTTTCTTTTCTTGCCATGCTGGGCGTATGCTGTTGCGTCAAAATAATTAAATCTTGGATGTTTAGGAAGGAAGGTCTTTATTTCCGTTTTCTGTCTTCTCTGTTTTCTCAGTCACTTATATATATATATATATATATATATATATATATATATATATATATATATATATATATATATATATATATATATACACACACACACTTGCGCGAGCGCATTTACACGTGTGCGCGCACACACCGATAGAGCCACACACACACACACAAAAACGCGCTCCTACACATATTGCACGCACACACGCACAAACATAATCACGCCTATGCTTATATCAGTGTTGGTGTAGGGGTGGGTTGGATGGTCTCAGCTCCCTTAAACATTTTTTAAGGGCACTTGTGAAAGGATTACATGTTCAAATACGCAAGAATAATAATAATTATTATGTGCTGAACGGCCAGTAAAAATCAAAAAATACATTTGAAATAATTTGAAATGTGTAAATACATACTCAAATGCATAATTTCCGTACTCGATTGAGGGGGCCCTTTAGCCCCTTACAAATATTATAGGGACTGGTAGAACGTCTAGCATCCCTCCTCCTGATAATTTTCAGTAAATCGGGAAGAGAAAAATTGGGCTGCATGGAAAAATGGGTTGGAAGGGTGGGGAGGGGGGGGGGAACTTGAGATTCATGATCAGGTGCCCATGGTAGAAGAGAGCATTTTTCGGACACATCTTTACAGTTATGTCACTGTGACCGTATAGACCAGATGGTACACTGTATATTTAATTAGGCAATTACAAAGATATTGTACATGATTTCTACTTGTATGTCCGTGAATGGAGGTTTTGTTCAAAACGTTCGACTGTGCATGTAAATTGTCGAGTTGTCTGGACTGAACTGCATATAATTGGGTATCGACACACGTCAACAGTAACCAGATGACCAAGGCGATGGTTAACAAAGGCGTCATTGAGTGTCAAATTGTCCAGCATTTCGCCCACGCTTGAGTGAAATCGCTTGCTTGTCACAAACAAGTATAGGGTGACGAGGGCGGTAGTCATCAAAGAAATCATATAAAAGGTGATTTGTTGAAATGTTTCAGCCAATGGCGACCGGCGTCCTGTTGACCACAACACACGCCGTTGGCCGGTCTATAAAATATAGATTTAGCACTCCACGCCCAATAATTCTGAAGGCGTGGAAAACTATCGTTTAGCCAATGACCCGTCGAAGACCACGACAAACCAATCATTTAGCCGACCCACTATAAAAAGATAGTTGATTGCATTACCTCAATGCGATTCAAGTGTTTTGAACGTACTGGATGTTTATAGAAGTAAATATTTTGATGTTTTGATTTTTTTATGTTTTGATTCTTCTCAGTCGGATACCTAAAGTTCACTAGGAGTCTAGTGTAGGATTTATCCTAATTTGCTTGTGTTTAGAAATGGAAAGATCCAAGCTGAAACCGATAGCAGTAGATCTTCCAGAGGATTTCTTTACAGCATTCAAGATTTGTCGTGGTCCAGTACTGGGCAGCGGGATGAGTGGAGAAGTGGTTCTAGCCACGTCACCTACTGACCCATCTATCAAGCGAGCTGTTAAAATACTGCCTTTACTTACCCCTGCAGGAGCGATTAGAAGCATGAGGTTGTTTTCTAAAGAAGTTATGTTTATACAAGAGTTATCTCATCCTCAT